AAGGACAGACCAGAATTAAAAAAAAAAAAAATGCAACACCAGCATCTTACCTAGCTGTTTCAATTTTGCTACTTTGGGAGAAAGACTTTTCTAGATCAAAAAAATTAGCAAACTTACATCTCACAGACATGCATGCATATCCAGTCCATACCTGCCCTCTCTGATCTCTATGGTCATGGAGCGAGACACCACATCTCTGGAAGCCAGGTCCTTGGCGTTGGGTGCATAGCGCTCCATGAAGCGCTCTCCCTCACTGTTGATGAGGATACCGCCCTCACCACGGCAACCCTCTGTGATCAGGCAACCAGCTCCATAGATCCCTGTAGGGATTCACACGAGATCGAGTTTTTATTTATGAACAATAAAAATCAAATAGATGTTAATACTTGTGTCATAGTAGGATCACTTTGATCCCAGTTTTAAGTGAGATCAATCCTCCGGGTTACTATGGTAACATACAGTAGACATCTAACAGGCTATTTGATCCAAATGTTGATGAATGAATAACACACGTACAAGAGTAGGGTAAATTATTAAATAACAGTTATCTTTATAAAGACAATACTTGATAGTAATCCTAAGAATGATTAATGTAACAGATTTAAATAACATTCCTATCAATGAAGCATAAGGTCAACATTGTAACATCCTCAAAGCTTTATTGCTATTATTTTTATGGCACCATACTGACACAATTCTCCAGAAATCCCATCGAGCAACAGAAGAATGTGTTGGTTCTACCTCTCAATTTATTTTTAGCAAGGTATAAAAACATTGGAAATAAAGTTCTTTCTCATATAATACTCTTGAAATGCTGACATAGTTTTACACAGCTTACTCAGCTTTGTTCTATTCTAGCATTAAAAAAATTATTTTGATTGTGTTTCTATCACAGCTTTTTGGTCATTGGTCGGTGTTGTGAGTTTATGCAAGAGTGTGATCGACATTTGGCGATTGATAAAGTCTATAATCATCTGAATCTATAAGCTGAAATCTTCACAGTCAAATGCATTTTTTGGGTACCTGAAATATTTTCAGCAATGTAAGGTATGCTGCATTTATCCAACCATGTGCTTGAAACAACATGTGAAGTTAGTGCATCATATAGAAAAAGGCGAGAAAAAAAAAAATCTGCACTCCAACTCAATGACCTGTGGCTCAGCCTGTGGGACCCTCCCATTGGCCACATCAGTGGGCTACTTCATACAGTCTGGTGTCAAATGTCCAGCAGGAACAAAAATAAAAATGACCCCTTGTCTTTATGCAACTGAGGTCCATTTTTAGAGCTCAATGTAAACAGCCTAACCTGAACAGACTCGTGGACCAACTTGATTTAAAAATCGAGCACTACAGACGTACCTCAGTAACTCAAAAGTCCTTTGGGAGTAAATGAACTAGATGTGTTACTGTCTCATATAATAAATGGAACAAAAGGACATCTATGTTCATCATCTCTCATCACTTGAGCAGCAAGTTGTTTATGGATTCAAATAAAGATAATTAGTGTTTACATCTTATAATTTATCTTGATTCGTCTGTAGTGACATTGAAACTCAACGAGGAACACAGAATGACATTAATCACATGACCAAAGTACAAACAGACAGAGAGGGAAACACAGTTCCCACTAATCATACACTGTCTTATCACATCATTATGGCTAGATAATAAAATAGTGGACTTTGAACTGTCACTGATAGAATACCTCTATTAGTTAAAATTAATATAAGTGACAAAGTTTTCAAGCGCTGTCTGTCAAAACAAGATACTAGTTTCTCTCTGCTTCTTTAATGCTTCAGTAGCAGAACTACCGTCTGACTTTAATAAGTTTCTTTCTCTCACCGGTGGGATGGAACTGTACAAACTCCAAATCCTGGCAGGGCAGTCCAGCTCTGGTCACCATTGCATTTCCATCTCCTGTACTAGTGTGGGCAGATGTGCAGCTGAAATAGGTTCTTCCATAACCCCTGGAAAGAAACAGACCTTGTTTATTAAACAAAGAAACAAAGATGAAGAAATGTTTGTGTCTCATACCAACTCTCTACGGTAATGACATCACAGCGCAGTGAGAGTGTGGCCTACCCAGTAGCAATGACAGTATTCTTGGCTCTGAAGCGGTGAATAGATCCGTCCTCCATGCAGAGAGCAATTACTCCTTTACACTCTCCATTTTCCATCAGCAGGTCCAGGGCAAAGTACTCCACAAAGTAGCTGGTGTCATAACGAAGCGACTGAGCAGAAGACAGAAGGGCAGAAGAATACGTGAGGTGCAACTAAATAGTTTGCCACAGAAGAATTGGTTTCTTTATGTGTAGACTGAGTCAGAAAAAAAAAAAAAGTAGGAAAGTGTGTGTGTGTACTTACCCGTCCATAAAGTGTATGCAGTAGAGAATGTCCTGTTCTGTCTGCTACACAGCAGCAGCGGTGAGCCTGGCCTCCTTTTCCATACTTGAGACTCTGACCTCCAAAGGCCCTCTGGTAGATCTTCCCATCTTCGGTGCGGCTGAACGGCATGCCAAAGTTCTCCAGCTAGGACAAACGTGAGAGCAACATGGGCTTATAATGTGCTATTATTGTGTGTTGATAATCCTGGGTGGGAGAGTAGGGATTTGATTTATAATTTGAGCCAGTTCATTTTTGAACTTTGGGAACCATAACCCTATTTAACCTTTTTTCTCAAATGTATCAAAATTAAATCTTGCCTTGCAAACTTAATCAGCAAGTGTTAAAAAAAATCATCTTCATCTTCGTTACTGGTTTTATGACAAATATGTAAATCGATAAAGATTTGAGACAGTGTGTAAGTGTAACAGTGTAATTTACTGACTTGTTAATGTCAGTGTCAGGAAAGTGATGACTTGATGCTGTCAGGTGATTTGCTGTGATGATGTGATTTTGATTCAAAATACATGCAATTATTTTTCCAAAGTTTCGAGTGTTTCAGGTTTAAAAGCCGAGTCTACCCAAGATAAATAAGGCAACTGTTTTCTTTTGGGGTTTTTTCATAACCGTATGTTGTATACTTAACTGGTTTATGTTTTTACTGGTCAAAGCCCAGTTTTTGCCAGCTAACCTAACCACTGGTATGTATGCATCTATGTGGGATCTTACCTCCACTACAGCTGCAGGAGCCTGCTCAGTCATGTAGTGAATAGCATCCTGGTCTCCCAGCCAATCAGATCCCTTTACTGTGTCGTAGAAGTGCCACCTCCAGTCATCCTCCTCCATATTCCCCAGAGCTGCATTGATCCCACCCTGTGAGCCAAGTCGATATCCAACAATTCATTAAAAGATACAGCGCTTCTGCTGATTTTGTTTACTTGAAATCTTACATTGACATAACAAATCTGCATACGTTTATTTTGTAATTCTACTTTAATACATACAGAAAGATTTGAGCTTGCTGAAATGATTTTTCTCCTAACTGAAAGTGCAAAATGTGTTGTTGTACCTGTGCAGCGACAGTGTGAGACCTGGTGGGGAAGAGCTTGGTGACGCAAGCAGTGTTGAAACCAGCCTCTGACAGGCCAAAGGCTGCCCTAAGTCCAGCCCCTCCAGCCCCTACCACCACAGCATCAAACTCATGATCCACAACCGGGTACTGAGTAGAGATCTGAAGACAACGAAGGATAGAAGTTACTGTAAAGACCAGCTTTTACACACTGGAAGCTCGGTCTCGAATATCAGTCATGGAGTGTTGTGAGTTTGCATAATTAAAAGCAAATTTGAAGCCATCATGGTACATTTTTAAACAGCAGTAACTTTGATACTGACACCAGATGCAAAGAAAAGAATGAATACATACAAATTAACACGTCTACCTATGTAAAAAACTGTATCCTATCATGTATCTATATGAACTACCCAATTAAATACAAGAACAAATCAAACTCACATCATCTGATACTTTGGCACTTTTCTTGCCATAGATGGAGAAGTGAAAGTTCCTGGAGCCTTGAACTGCAGCAGCAGGGACCTGGCACAAAAGAAAACAGTTTAGATAAGAGTCGAATTTAAAGAAAAATACATAATAAAATAAAATACTTGTTTAGCCATAACATACACCGCTAATTAACATATACCGTTATGTTTATTCAAATATTAAAGGCAAACTTAAAATCAGTCCTAGTAACACTCCCATAACAATGGATAATTGAGCATAAATATCACACAATAACATGTTACTGGGCAAATTTATGACACATTTTGCACTTGATGTCGTTTAAATTGCCTATGGTATCATTAAAAAATTACAAACGAAAGTTGTCTTTAAAGATATTTACATTTCATCTTTTTTTGCAGGTTAAAATGCAGCAGCTAAAACTGTTATCCACAAGGGCAACTGAAGTAACTGTCATAAACATGTTGGAATAACTCAGTTACGCTGACAGTTTACTAAAAACATTACTCACAAAGTATAATGTGAAAGAAAAGCAGATGGTATAACTGTATATTATGTTGTATTATGTCATAAATATATGCTATAATGGCTTTTTTCCATGGTGTCACATTGAAACACCCTAAGCTACATAACACTGGTTACGCAAGTCACAATGCGCCGGTTACGAAAGCTGAAGTGCAGCAAAATTCTTCCTTTCAGCAGGAAAAAGGCAATCGGCACGCATAATCAGAGAATGAAGATGATGAATGAAAGATTCGAAACCCAATTGTTATAACTCACTGCTTTTGTTTTAGATAGTACCCTCTTGGAAAGGAGACGGGACGCGGCACGGACACTCGCCATGTTGTCAGTAGAAGGACCGATTCTGAGGCAAGACGGAGGATCACATATTCTGTTGCACTGGACCAAACCACTCTCCGAAAATGGGGGTGTCGTTTATGTTGCAATCAATGGTTATACACAAAAATATTTACTGATGAGTTTTTAACACTAAAAAGCATTTTTATTTTGTTTAATATATCCAATTAAACATAAACAGTCTTTAATTGCCGCATAAAATGGGGCTTTTGTATAAGGGAATTCCCAGGAATTACCCTCGGTCGTTGTAGCTGCCAAAGCGTAAAATTGTATAATCTGGGTGTGCAGGAACAAATGTATAAGTGACCTAGACTTTTCATTCAAGGTGAGACACGGCACCATATATTTAACAGACGTACACTGGCTTGTTGTCGGAATTACAAAGCTGTTGTGCTCTGTGTTTTTTATGAAATACTATAGCGAGCATGAACCAGCAAGCTAAATGTTGGCTAGCATGTTAGCTAATAGCTAGCCTTATTGTGGTTAGCTGGGCTGTCAAACTACCAAGTCATGTCAGACTGGGTTTGCTGTTTCAGTCTGTGTTTTGGCAAATGCTTACAAGCTAATTCCTAACTAAGGTTCACGTCTAGTTCTTATTTGTAACACCATTTCTAAAAGCCACACATACTGTCCAAACATGTTTATGTTTTTAAATAGCTCATGGTGAATCTGAAACCATTTTCTTTTAGTAAGCTACTTAGTCAATGGATACTCTGACTTCCATTGTGTATGGGAAGAATACACAATAAGTTTGTAATCGTGGGTTTGTGTTTATAACTAAGCCACTTTAAAGCAGTATGTAACTGCTACTACTGCTGACATTAAGCTACCAGCACCAGTATCAACAAAGACCTGGTAGTGACTCCAGTATCAGTGTTAGAAGTGTGAATGAAAAGACACTGCTACTTCAGGAGAACCATTCAGTCTGTTGCAAAATTTGAATATTTATCATAATGTACATGTAAAGATGTATACGTTATTACTGATGTTGTGGTTTCCCTGTGTATGGGTGTGTGTGTGACAGCAGTCTCCATGAACAACTTGAATGATCCCCCCAGATGGAACATCCAACCAGACCCCAGAGGAAGGGGGGCGGGGGCCAGTGATGGTAACCAATGGAACTATGCCCTGCTGGTCCCTATGCTCGGACTGGCTGCATTTCGTAAGTTACACAAGGAGATGTACAGTAGCAAGAAACGTTTTTGTGGATGAGGTAACAGGCACAGGAGGGCAACATTTGATATATAATAAATGCATTCATGCAAGTGTGAGATCCGCACTTTACCTCTGAAATGTGTGTTTTATTTTGTTTTGGTTTTTTTTGCTTTCCTTTGTCATATTTGTACCCTTTTTTGAATGCTTGATCATTTTTATCCTCAGGTGATGCTATCGTCATGTTAACTTTATTAACTCTCTCAAAACTGGGAGCCAAGCTGGTGTTACAAAATCTGTATTATTTGCTTCAGTTGGTCTGCCCTTCAGGAGATTCTGTTGGTTGAGGAAAAGCATTACTGTAAGATCAATGTAACTTAAATATATCTCACTCACACTTATTCTCTTGTCTTAACTCCCACCACCCCATCAGGTTGGATCTGGACCAGAGAGTCTCAGAGGGAGATCCAGAATGTCAGAGCCCAGTATAACAAGGATGTGTCTATAATAAAAAGTGAGATGGAGGCACGGTACCGGGAGACACTGACAGAGAGGCGCAAGGCAGCTGCTATACTAGAGCTAGAGCTGGAAAAGGAGAGACAGAGGGTGAAAGGGTATAAGCAGGCTCTGATCTCACAGAGCCAGCAGCTGATGGAAGAGCGAAAACAGCTACAACAGGTAAATTCTTGTATTGTCCTCCATTTCTGCTATTGTGTACTTTTCCCATTTAACCTGTAGCTTTCTTCTCTATAACTCAAAACTCTTTTTCTCCCCTACAAGGAGCGAGAGACCTTGGTGGAAGAGAAGCAAAGGCTGGTGAATTCCGGAGCTGCAGGTGCTGTGCTGCATCATGCCCTGGAACGAGAACAAGGCTGGTGCCAACGAGCCACAGCCACTTTGAAAGAACTTGAGGGTCTGCTTGTGGAGCGCCAGAATGCCTACTGTTCCCTCATCCAGCCTCGAGATCAGCGACTGGAGATGGAGAAGAACATGCTGCTAAAGGTCGTCAAAGATCCCATCGGGGCAGAACTAGATCTAGAGTCTGACCTGAGGGATATTTTTAAGAGAGATAAGCACTGTGCAGATGTGCTAAACATGGACAAGAGGAAGAACGGAAGCCTAATGTGGGTGTATCTCAAGTACTGGCAGCTGCAGGTCACTGTCCAAAAACACAAGAGAGCTGAGGAAGCCATATTAGGAGGGAAAATCCAGTCTCACACTAAGTGACAAAAGACATAGATGAGCTGGTGTTTTTCATTTGACTTAGAATCTTTAAAGTATGTGGATCAGGAATGGAAAATGCATGTATTTTTGACTCTAAGTAATTATCTTTACTTGATAGAGATGTTATGGAAACACACAAGGTCATCTCAATAAGATAATGTTAAGCATCTGAAAGCTCCATCCTTGATCTTCAGAGAAAAGAAGAGAACAGGTTGGTCAGGTTTACAATATAACTATAGCATCAGAAGCCCCATATAAGACTCATTAGCTTTAAATTAACTCGGGGAAAACTTATAATGTTAAATATGCATTAGGATCATTCTAGTAATATCCATATTGGATACTCAATTAATGTTTAATGACATATACAAATTAGTTTTTTCCATTTATCCCCTTGGAAAATATTGTCAGAAAATCTGTGTTAATGTAACTTACATTCTCTGAGTGCCATGAATTATTGTTAGGTGAGTGTACTGTATGTCCAGACATGGACTTTTTTTTTGTTCTCTCTGTTTTGGATATGAACTGATTGCTTACGAAAACCTGTTCACCTTGTCCCATGTTATACACACTGCTGAAAGAAACATTCTTTCTCATCAGGAAATTATTTAAGTAATATAATTTATTACTAAGGGCACTCACAGAGCGCAGACTTCAGCTAAGGCCAATGTGAAACAGCACACACCAGACAAAAAAAATCGAATTAATTGTAAATGATCTGATCTGCCCCAAAATTTAATGGGTTCTTCCTTGGTTCTTCCCAATCCTCCACCAAGTTTGGTACAATTCAGTTCAGTACTTTTTGCATATCCTCCCATCCTGCTGACAAACAAACAAACCAACAGACACAGCAAGCAAGCAAAGTTTATTTGTATAGCACTTTTCCCAGACACTAGTCACAAAGTGCTTCACAATCAAAATTAATAAGAACAAATGGAAAAATTAAAAACAAATAAATTGAATAAAAAAACAAACACAGGTGAGATCATAATTTGCTTGGTGGAGGTAAAAACACTATGTTAAAGTAAAACAGCCATGAATCCAAACACACTGTCAACACAATTAATATGGGGCAGTCATTGAAGTCTTTTATTTCCATGGAATGTGTTGATACTTGGCTCTAATATGTTGATGGCCTCCGGTGGGAGATATTTATAACAGTGGGAATTACTTTGTTTTTACCAACCCCTCTGTCCATGGAGTTTCTCCATCTATTTACAGTCTGCATGTTGCCATTTATGATACAGTACAAGGCCTAAAGCTTAAAGAATAGTTTGACTATTTCTCATCACTGGTTCCAAGTTTCTAGCCTTCAGTCTGGTTTTGTGGGAGCCTCATAATGAGCACGAAGGAGACAGGACTATTGCAGGTGCATGTGAATGTAAATTAGAGGACAGAGCAAAAAAGTAGTGCTTAGTGCTGCAACATCTTATCAGATTACTACAACAACAACAAAAAACTCTTTCATTCACACCTCACACCTGTAGCGGAAGGATTATATGAATCTATAGCATTTTTATTTGGTTATCAAACCTTGTTGCACTGTTTTGTTTTGATATCTTGGTGAATAAGTGCTGGATGTAATGCCACTAACCACTGTGTGCAATCCTTCAAATACATTTTTGGTTGAAAAACTTCATGTCTGGGTTGTTTGTGTGTTCTCTTTAGAGCCTCAATAGTTTTGCTATGTTTACCCAAGTATATCAGCTCATTGGGGGTCCCTTTACAATGTTTGACCACAGGGGGGTGCTGCATAAATAAAAAAAACTTGCATGCACAGAAATACATAGAAAGAACTGACACATTAATATTAATCTATAGGTAAATTACAGACAAAGTGCATGTATGTAAAGTTATTTATTGTATTTTCTCCAACAGGACAATTTTTATTAACTTGAACATCATATTAAACTGTATGCAAAATTAAGTTCCAGACACATTTCATGTTAGGCATGGAAATCACTGACAATGACAGAAAGCATGCAGTAATCTTAAGAGACCCAACTTCAGAACATGTTCATATCTACAATACCGCATATCATTACACATTTTCAAGTTATGGCACATACATTATTTCAAAATTTTAAATATAATAATTTAGTAATGTAATTATGAAAAAATGAATAAAGTGAATCTCTTCTATCATAAATTATCACCCATCAGAATTAGAATACTGGATTCATTTTCCATCTAAGACTCTTGTTTGGACAATACTAAAATATAAAGTTACTTAGCAGATGAGATATCTAGTTTGACATAGATAATTGTCATGAGGCTCATTTCATCAGGAGGTAATTCTTTGTCAAAAGTCACAGTTTAGATAGTTTAGATTGTTCATATAATTTATACGCAAATTTCAATTTACAAATACCAGTATGTAAATTACACAAAGATATGCTATGTTGTATATTCTCTGAATCACAGTTTTAGATACCCTTCCACTGCACCTCCTCGCTTCACTCCCTCCTCTGCACGCGATGAGAGATCTCCCGTGGAGAGGACATCAGGCTCGAAGCTCTGAAGTTCACTCTGATTGGCTTTCTGAGGTCCTGAGTTGTGGCAGTCACTTCCTGCTTATCCACTCCATTATTCACCCTCCGTGATGTGGCTGGTTGTTCTTCTGCGCACCCAAAGGTGGCTCTGGCATGATATGGCGCCCTGCTGGTTTTGAAGAAGGGCAGGTGGTGCTCTTTCATAGCTCCGCTGTGACTGCCCAGCTTCAGTATCTGGCTGGGACTCCTCTCGACCATGAAGTGGACCACCTGTTGCTGCTTATAACTTTCTTTGCGAACACTGTCAGTCTCTGACAGTGTCAGCCTGAAAAACAGTACACACACCAGATTAATTATTAATCCAGCCTCTGCAAGAAAACTAAAGAAATCTGCAGCTTTATCGCTCTTGGTTGAATTTTTGACCACATCACATGTTATTCACCAGTGTTTTCCTTTAGCACTCACAGGCAACATACCTGCAGTGATATCACTGATCAGGTCGTGTAGTGCAACTTATCTGAAATTTTTAACCCAAGCAAAGCAGTAAAGCAGCTGTTTTCACCTGTACTGTGTGTGAATCATGTGATTTTACCCTCTAGGTCAAAATAGAGTATGTCCAAACACCTTTATCTTAGGCTACAACACTATACTGAACACTACACCATACAAATTTACAAATGCTTAAACATAATGGGGCGAATATAGTAGAAAACATTGCAGTATTGTAGGGACTCATTCAACAGTTTCAGTATATTTGAAAAGAGAGAACAACCTACCTGTATTGTGGTCTTGTTTCAATGACCAGGCTCAGCCAACATGCTTGGTAGCTCTCTTTCTTCCACTGGTTTTCCTCGTGAAGTTCGCAGTAGGAGTTCACCAGGTAGCAGCCTCCTCTGCTCACACAGTGCATGGCGTGATTGCGACAGGAGCGTGAACGTCAGTAATTGTCTGTCTGTGCCAAGAACAAACGTCCTTTTGTTTTTTGTTTTTTTTTTACCTGAGTCCTACTTGAGGTGAACAAAACTCATGGGAAAAGAACGCAACAAGCTATCAAATCAAGTGTCATCATCAATGTGTGTGTATGTGTGTGTATCAAGTACTCTGAGATGTGTGTGTGCGAGTTAGGCCATGTCTTAAATATAGAGTCTTGTTTCTATTTTTACTCCTCTGCATCACATTGTAGTGAATGTAGTGAATGTCCCCACTTAAGGTATCCTGAAGGTTGGTTTTCATTTGAAAAGGAGCTTTAGCTTTTTCCATGACGTCAGCCAACCAGATGAATCCAGATGAAAGGTGACTGTGATACCCACTGATGTCATCCACTGAACTACTGAACTGGCAAAATGTTTAGTTGTTTCATGTATTTCTGGTAAAAAAAAAAAACTAAGTAGTAATCTCAAACATGATATCACCATCTGCACCTGGAAATGTATATGATTACACAGTCCTATCCAGTGCAAAGTGGAAGGCAAGTTATATTTGCATTTTTTGCATATTCAGTGCACATGTAAATTTGTAAATTCTACATAGTAAAATATTTTCCTAAGAGAGAGGACATTTTGGCTGGTCCTCACTTTCTGACGCACCTTCAAAGGGCAATTTGAGGGTTAAGACTTGGTTTTAGGGTTAGGCTTAGGGTGAGTTGGGGCATTCAGTTGTGATGGTTAGGGTGTGTGTGTGAGTGTGCATGTTTTGATAGAAATATGAAATGACTAATCTGTTTGAATAAGATGGATCCAAGGGTCATGCCATCAGAGTAGATATCCTCCCACTCCTCAGATGTCTCTCACACAGACCACATGTTGCAGGAAGGAAACAGCTGAGGGCAATCAGATCACTGACAGTAATCCCAACTCATTAATCCAAAGATACATCAGTTCCTTGGCCAAATTCACACTGATGGCTGCAAAAGTTAATGTTTGTGAGTGACATTTTTTTTTTTTTTTACAAAAGTAATCTGTCATCACTGTCACCACTACAATCTGTGTGAAGTTCAGCAGAATGGTTTAATTTAATAATAGAGTAATACTTTAATAGAGTGATGTACAATGAAAGAGTCTTGATTTGAACAGATATGCTCTATCTTCCTTTTATTGATATTTGAAAGATGTAATGAAGGAGTGTGGGTCAAAGACCTCGCTGTAAATACACTGGCACAGATAAACATAGCAGAATTAGGATTAGAGCTGTAGTATCATGCAAAAGAAAGATATGTAGACTTTCAAATCTTTGACAAATTACAAGGTCATTTGATTTGTTAAAGCATTCTTACTACATTTCTGTAATTGTAATGATTTTCCAAAAGTGAATTGTTTGTTACTTAAGTGCTCAGTGAATATTTGAAGCTCCTTGACTGAACGTAACTATAAATCTTGATTACTCTTGCCGTCGTTGGGACTTTGGCAACCTGAATTTCATCAAACTGCGAGGGTGAAACTAAATCAGAGGGTGTATGATGGTGTGACCGAAGCAGTGGAAGGTATGCTGGACAGTCTGTTCCAGCGACACAAGAGTCGGTATTACATGACTTCAGTTTAAGGCTGAATCCTGACTAAGACATTGCTGTGGCAACATGAATGCACATTCACAAATAAACAAGCATCTCACCATGTTTAGAAGTGGCAATTAGTATCCCATCACAAGCAGAAAATTTAGTTAATGCAGTTTCTTAATATTTATAATGAGCAGGAATATCACTGTGACATTTATATATGTCATTTTTCATCATCAGTTGCACAGAATTTACATTACATTTTAAAAATCTGATTCCTCAAAGTTTCTCAATCCTTGATTATTTTGAAACCACATTTGTGTCCCTAAGGAAGAGATTGTGCCTATTGTCCATGTTGGACCAGAAAAAAAAACACTTTTCAACAAATACTTTTGTAAATGAGAGATGTCAGTGTGTGATTTTAAAATTTTAAATAAATTAATTTGAAAAACAGTATTTTCACTTTGTCATTATGCATTAGTCAGTGTAGATTGATGAGCAAAAATGGCCATTTTATCCACTTAAAATTAAATCTACAACACAATAAAGTGTGAAAGCCATTCACCTTTAACCAAAAAGAGCCTCAGGAGTTTAAATATAAAGAGTTTAAATATAAAGATATAAAAAGATATAAAATAAATTACATATATATATATATACATATATATATATAGAAAAATAAATTATTTCACTAATGCAATCATTGCTATGCACATTGCTTGATCAATTTTTTTTTTTTTTTAATTAAACAAATTACATACATAAGATTGTTTTTTCATATAATGAATTTATTGTGAAACATTCAAATATACAGTAAATTTCTCTCAGACTGGCTTCAAGTCTGACAAACGGTCAAAAAATGAACAATGTCTGATACCAACAACTCCAAAGACTTTGACGTTGTGTTTTCTACCCATGTGTTAATGATATAGTACAGTATGGTCACAGACAGTGACCATACCGGAAAGTGAAAACGTTTCTCCTGTGATCAAACAAGCAGATCCCATTGTGGATCATGTTTGTGGAAACAAAACCTCTTCCTTTTACTGGATAACAGCCTGAACAAAATATGCTGTTCACTATGTCAAATAAACCATCAGTATGTAACTGACCACACCTGTGTCAAACTGAAGGTATGTAGCAAACACAGCATCATTAGCTGAACCAGGCAGGCCTCTTTCTGGTTCTCTCCACTATCCTCTTGTCTTTGACCTGCTGGCTTGGTGTCTCACCCTCATACAGCACAACCGTCTCCACTGTTGGGGCCCTCAGCGGGCCTCCTTCCATTGCTTGAATCTGTTGACGAATCAGTGAAGTCTCCTTGCACACCTTAGCATAACAGAAGCCACACAGGATATGTTTCTGCTTCAAGTGGCCACACTCTGGACACGGCTCAATGTTGGTCTGAGATGGAGACCGAGAGAGAGACAGAGGGAAGACTGTGGGTCAAACTATGTCAAGACAACACTAACATTTATACACACCAATACTGATTTGTGGCTATTAAGTAATTTTCTTGTAAGATGAGATATACAGTTCCTAAGCAAACTCCGTACAAAGTAAGTCTCAATTAAACTGTTCACAACAAAGTGTGTGGATTATTGTGATTAACTAGAGATGTACTGGTATCATTTTTCTGAAGTACTAATGGAACAACATGGACGTGTGCATTAAGTCAGCTGGAAATCATAAACAGAGCAATAAGTTGCATTCAGAATTTTTGACTTTATTGACTGAGGAAACACCCCAGATATTCTGTTATATATGACACAGTATATACATACAGTCACTGGGAACTCTGTTAGGAACACCATACTAACACTGGGTAGGGCCTCCATTTGCTCTCTAAACAGCCTAATTTTTTGGCAGCATGGAGTCAACAACAAGCTGGAAACATTCCTTTGCTTTGTGACATGGTGCATTATCATGTTGAGAGTAGCCATTAGAAGATGGTAAACTGTAGAAGATGGAAAATACTCTGATCGGCTGTGGCATTCAAACAATGACTGTTTCCCCCTCCCCACTCTCCTGCAGCCCATTTGGCACCAACAATCATGCCACGGTTAAACTCACTGAGATCACATTTATTTTTTTTCCCATTTTGATGTTTGATGTAAACATTAACTGTAGCTCCTGTCCTATCTGCATGCTTTCATGCATTGCACAGTTGTCACATGATTGGCTGATTGGATAATTTTATGAATAAGCAGTTGTACAGGTGTTCCTAATAAAGTGCATGTACTTACACATGTATAATTTGATGGTAAACTGTCAATGCAGCATCGATCCAACTATCATCTGAGTAAACATATTGATAAACATTAATTATATGTTTATGTTGAGTTTTGTTAATGTCATTTTTAAAGCTTTCCCAGTCAGTCAGTACAGACAATCAGTACTCTACCTGAGACACAATGAGTTATAGTTGTGTTTTGGGGTGAAGCCCCCTTGGGAGAATCTAAAGGAGGTTCTATTCAGCATACCTTGACTTTTAAGAGTTTGCTGTCATCTCTCCTTCTGGTGCGGTTGATCTCTATCGTGCGTCTCTTTTTGGGTACTGCCATCCAAAAGATGCTGTCCATGAGGCCGGGTGGCTGCTCTGGACTCTCCTGCTCCTCCAGCTGGTGGTCCTGGCCAACCTGAGGCTGGAGTTGAGGCAGGAGACTGGGGCCATAGACTGCCAGCGCTGGAGCTGCACAATGAAATACACCGTTACCTTCTTATCACTGTAACCCAACAGTCAGCTCAGTAAGGTTAGCTAACATCCAGAGCTCCAGGCGGTAAACTCACCAAGGTGTCGGTCTAGTCCCGCCGCCTGTAGAAGTCTGCTCTCAATATGTAGCAAAGAGCATCTGAGGCTCTGGACTAAAGCTGCTAAATTCATCATTTTAATTGTCAGCACGTTTCGTCTCTTTCCAACATGTCAGACAGCTCACGGTCACTGAAGTTTAGTGCGTCACTACACTGCGACAAAAAAAAAAAAAAAAAAAAACTATACTCCTTCTTCTTCTGCTTAATTTCTGGCAGACAAGCCTGATTCTGACGTCTTACTACCATCTATCGGTCAACTGTCCAAAAATACACTGCAGAAATAATTCAACAAAACTTGGTGATGCTTTCCAAACAGTTTCCAAACCATGCCTATTCTCTATGAACGCCCCTGTTTTGTCAGGATAGTTTGAACTAAATGTAGCCTTTGCCTCCAGTTATTGTCTCTTATTAGTTTTACGTCCATAGATATATGTTTTTAAAAGATCTTACTTGTTTATGCTGTGACATTATATGCTAAATACAAAAGGGCCCACAACAATTTCTAATTCCTGTTATTCCTTGTTGTTGTTATTGTCTAGTATTGGTCCAATATAACTGATATGCAGAATAATTTGCCACTGTGTGATCTTTAGTCCAGATCATGCGAAAATTCAATCTCAGAAATCACATCAGTACTAGAATGAGAAGTTTCACGTTTTTACTGATTCATTTCAGATTTGGCTCATTTGAGACTCACTATATCTATCTGGTCTCTAAACATCTGTACAGCCTGATAACATTTCGGCTGGTGGTTTGTGCACAGTCTTCATAGGCGGCAGTATACACACTCTGAAGTTACTTTACAAATCTGCGGCCAACACAGAGTAGAAGAAGAAGAACAAGATGGCGGAACGAGGCTACAGTTTCTCCCTCACCACATTTAGGTAAACTTTGTTAAAATTATCGTGAAATTGAAAAAAACACATCTACTCATGCAGCCTGTGGTGGTTGTAACTGAATACTAGTTTGAGAAAATGTTGGCGCAGTTTTCTGCTTTGATTTTAAAAGAAGTTTTTGGGAGCCGCTGTAGTTGATGCACTGTCATTGCCGGGTAGTGTAATGAATCGGCTAACGTTGACTGCTAGCATGGCGGCGAAGTGGATTTTAAATGAAACGGTTAAGTGCCTTTACTTTTTCTAATAGCGATAATAAAAACTCCCCGAATATTTGGATTATTGGGTCAATAACTGAACAGAATGAAGCAGGTCGGTTTTATATAATAGATACTACTTTTAGCTAAGCTAGCGCTAAGTTAGCTCAGATGAGTCAGTTGTTCTAGCGTTTGCTTTCAGTTTCGCCTTGTTAATTGTAAACCGTGTTCTCAAACTACAGTTGTTGTTGTTGTTGTTGTTGTATGTCCATTTTAGTTAAGTTTATTTCTAGTCCGCTTTTCAGCATAATAATGCAACATCCCATGTTTCCTCTTGCAGCCCTTCGGGGAAACTGGTCCAGATTGAATATGCCCTGGCAGCTGTAGCAGCCGGAGCTCCCTCAGTTGGCATCAAAGGTATGGGCTCCTGGAAATCAGTGGATCATGTTGAACTGTTGTTGGTTTTGGAACAAAACTGGGTTATGGGTCTTTGAGGATTATTTCCTTGTTTATAAAAGGGGTGAAATGCTTTTAAAAGAAGAGATATTATTAAGTTTGACAATGGACCATATCAATTTAAAGTCTGATTGCTATCAGAGGATGCAACAAGACGCTCACTGGAAGAGTGTATAGTCTTTACTTGCCTTCATTAATGTAGGGTAAACTAACACAGGAACACATGAATTAGATAGTTTCTTTATTGTCACTTGCTTAGTGTATTTTCTCCTGACTTAAATGTGTAAAACAGTGCAGAGGGCAGTGTGACAACAAAACAAAATTACTTTGATAAATCTGGTACAGTGTGGTAAAGTAATACATGCTATAGTTTTGCTTTTCTGTCTGCAGTATTTTTTCATAATAGTAAAGGATGTGTCATTTATCTGGCCTAATCTGTGGGCCATTTTAACAGACACAGGTGCAGCAACCTAAGCTTTCAACAGCATCCTTAAAGGCTGCGCATCAGTTTCATTTGTAAAACCACTAACTGTGATATTATTCTTGATTTTCAGCTTCAAATGGAGTTGTCCTGGCAACAGAGAAGAAACAGAAGTCCATTCTGTATGATGAGCAGAGTGTCCATAAAGTGGAGCCCATCACTAAACACATAGGCATGGTCTACAGTGGCATGGGGCCTGATTACAGGTGGGGATTATTTCCAGCACCTTGCCTTTCTTTCCTAACTTCAGACAAGAAGTATCTATGTGAATATCTACCAAATGTTAAATTCACTAGAGGGAACAAGTGTGAAAAGAGGCTGCATATAGACAGTTCACTAGCAGCTAAAAAAAGAGTGGTCCTAGCCTGTCTGTTGTAAATTGATATATTGGAGGTTTGGCATGTTTTAACCCTCCAACAAACTGTACTTCATTTTTGCAAAGCATGCCATAATGTTTTTAGATTGATGATCTACTTTCCAGACAGCTGTTGATATCTGGTGCTCCGGCACGAGATTTTAGAATCACCTGTTGGAAAAACATTTGTACTTTAAGAAACCAAATGTGGTTGTTAGTTTGTATTACTGCCAAGATAAAGTTTTTCTTGTGCGATTTCTCTTAGGTGATCATTTTTCATTTAGTATTGGTGAGTTAAGTTTAATGGGCTGTTCACATATACGTATTGAAAAGGCTGGGACAGTCACAGTTTCATGCTTTTTGGTTGTGAGAACGGAACATGCCCATGTCATGTGGGCACAACATAAAAACAAATATAAAAAAAACACCATTCAGCAACTTTGTAGCCTCTGTATGTGAGAAATCCAGAAGATGTCACACAGAGTTTTTATGACTACTTGACCTCACATATATCAAAAGCTTCATGGGTTGTCTTCTCCTTTCAGGGTTTTAGTGCGACGAGCCCGGAAGTTGGCACAACAGTACTTCCTGGTTTACCAGGAGCCAATTCCCACAGGCCAGCTTGTCCAGAGAGTGGCCTCTGTTATGCAGGAGTACACACAGTCTGGGTGTGTATTAACTAAGACATATGAATACATATATGCTTATAGACACATTACATTTGTATTTTAAAGGTAAGATGTATTCAGTCTGAATACTTAGTTTGAACCTGTCTTATTTTCTCCTCCAGTGGTGTGCGTCCATTTGGCGTATCGTTGCTGATAGCTGGATGGGATGAAGACCACCCCTACCTGTTCCAGTCAGACCCCTCTGTATGTTGTATTCATTCACTCTTTTTTTATATTTGTTGAAAAACAATAAATGTCCTTAGGTACTGAACTCTTTACAGCTCGATGTTTTATAGTAGTTTAATTGTTTTTGTCTTTGACAGCAGATTCATCCTGAATTACTTTAACAATGCACCACTCATTTTTATCTTCCCCAAAACCTGTTAGTTATACTCTTTATTATGCATATCTTGTCAGATTGAAATGTGCTCAACACTTACACACTCACTCTCAGCCTGCAGTCATTTTAAATAGTCTGTATGTCAGAGGTAGAACTTCCTTGCTGACCTAAAGGGTTTCTTTCTTCTTTTTAATTGGCAGGGTGCATATTTTGCATGGAAAGCCACAGCCATGGGAAAGAACTATGTTAATGGAAAAACATTCCTTGAGAAAAGGTATGACTTTACAATTAAAGGCTTTTTTTTTTTTTTTTTTTTTGAAGAATGAAAATTATGTTGTAACCACAAACGTAAAGATGTGGATTATCATAATATGGACTCAGTTTGAGGCACACTGCACAGATTGGTAGATGAACTCTTTCTTTTCCTTCTCCAGGTATAACAATGATCTGGAATTGGAAGATGCGATCCACACAGCCATCTTGACATTGAAGGTATATTGTTGATTATAAAAAATACGCAGAGTATTTGACTCTTTGGTTACACTGTTTTTCCTTTTTATTATCAGTCATTTACACTCTTCTGTTTCTGTGTTAAAGGAGAGTTTCGAGGGTCAGATGACAGAGGAGAACATTGAGGTGGGGATCTGCAATGAGGCCGGCTTCAAAAGACTCACCCCAGCAGAGGTGAAAGACTACCTGGCTGCCATTGCGTGATCACGCCCTGCCTGGTGACAGGGCTTTCGGCCACATTTCAAGACAAAGGCAGCAGCACAGTAGCCAACAGTCTCATGACACATTTCTGTAAACCACAGTTTTTCATATTTTCTGCCCTGAAAACATGAGAGTGGGGACACATCATTACTTGACTATATTCGTGATTATTAATGTGAGATGATACCTAGACCAATTTACTTAAAGAGCTTTTTGAGCATAGCCTTTGTGTGTTTACAGCTAATGTAACTGACACTCACAACTACATTAAACCCCATCAGTGGCTGTGAGATGCCAGACTTATTACTAATTGGCTTTGTTGTCAAACACATGCCCTTTTACTGTGAAATGTGACCGCTGGCTACTGTGCATATGAAAAGGAATGTGGGCTCTGATGAGTGAAGTCTCAAGTCTTCCATTGAATCCTTCAGTTTTCTTCTTTCTCATTACTGTTGCAACAGCAATACTATTGGTTTACAAATCAAGTACTGCATTATGTATTCATTCAAAATTCGATTGCTTGTCACCAAGTGTGACAAATGACCTCTGGTACAAAAAACTAATTCAAATGATGTCAAGGCTAACACCTATTAAGAGGCCATTAGACAAGGCCTTGGCCTCACATCTGACTGGTGATTTATTCACCCTGAGCATTGACACATCCCCCTAAATCTCCCAACTACAATTAATCAGTGTCACTCTAACACACTAGGAAGGAGAATAAACATAAGGGAGCAAGTAGGGAGGATACAATGGAAAATTTTGAGAATTTGCAGTCAGGATCTGGTTGCCTGTACAGCAGTTTTACAAAATGTACTTTTTTTTTCAGGCTAGAAACAATTCTAGAGTTTGTATTTTCTCTTCTGTAATCTGTCACGTTCAAATAAAAGATAATGATTCCAGTTTGACTCCGTGTATTAAACAATTATATATATTTTTTTGAAATTGAACGTTAAAGATATTTTATTGATTAAAATGGAGAATGTGAATGTGCTGTCAGTACATGGTTTGTGTACATAATGAGCGCGCGCTAGTGCACAGTTTGGAGCAGAGCGCGCTCTAACATCAACCGGAACACCTTTTCAAATTGTATACGTATCGCTCCGCTTATGTTAGATTTAAAATAATACTATCATTGATGTGATTACGACAACAACAGTGATCGCTAAAATATTCTGCATCGTCAATATGATGAAAATAAAATCAATTTTATAATTTCACTTCATGTAGAATTTTCCAAGAGATCTATTTTTCCTGGCGGCAGCTCATGGCTATCTACCTCATAACCTCCGATGACGTTTATGGCGCCAGAAATCAAGGGTTTAGTGAGGAGATAGTGGTGTGTGTGTCAGCTGGCGGATATTTACCGTTATATGTACTATGTTGGCGGTTCTGTGAGCGTTAGACTTTTTAAGGCAGAATAGTGGCTGATTATCCGTCGTTGGTGCTGGTATAAGCTCGGTTTGGAGTCAAGATGGTGATACTACGCAGCAGCGGCACTGTCGGCGCTGATCCGGTGGCAACTCCGAAGAGGAGGTCGATTGAGTTGGACACAAGCTCCGAGTTTCTGTCGTTGCTTCCCGCGTCGCAGAGAAAGTCCGCCCGGTTGACCCGGTCCTCTCGGGCCCTGGATGACAGCTTCAGCAGTACCGAAAATAACACGGCGAATGTGAGAATACTCTCGTACACGGCTGGTTACATAGATAGATCACCATTTGTTAGGTGGTTAAATTATTTATAAACGTAACTTTACTGTGCTAGTTTTGCTAGCGTGCTAAGCTAACTAGCTACATTGACAGCTAGACACTTAGGCTACTGCCAAATTATCTGAATGAACACCCCAAGTCTCTTAACGTTTTACTGAAACTCGCATGTCTATTGCACATTTATTATTTTAAACGTAACGGCCATTTATAAACTCCATAGTCCAAATTATACAGCCAGTGAACAATCTCAGTTATGTTTTGTTCAGTGGTATGTGCCATGGTCATAAAACAGTGCTATAGGTTACAAGACCAGGTTGTCAAGTATACTTCCCAGATGTCAGAAGTTAATTGCCCAGCAAGGGGGTGTGTTGCATGGGATTGATTTGGGGGAGGGGGTGAGTAATCTACTAATCCATTTTTTCATGAACTCATTCATTCATTCATTCATTAAACCTTATCTCAGACTCCTCTGTTAATAATAAATGTGCTTGATATACTGTAACCAAGATTTTCTCAGAGGCACTATTTTGTAAAACATACTCTACTACAGCTCTCTTAACTTTGACCCCAGTTTTAAAAACATGTTTTATTTTGTCTGTACACATATACTTGACATTGATGTTAAGTAACGTTTATCATAAACTACTTTTTAAAAGTATATTCCGGGAGTGAAATGGTTTTCTGTACAGAGGTGTTTAACTCTTAGGACCTAGTTCCAATACAAAAACAAAACATCCTCTATAAATTCAAAGAAGTTCATCAAAGTGCCTGCTGAGACAGTGGTCAGCAGGCTAACCCATAAGGCAGATGGTTCAGTGAATAAAGCACTAAGATATTTGCAAATTGGAAAAAGTTTCAAATAAAGCTGAAGCAAATGAAGAGAAATGAATGGGATTATGGATAATGTTACATGTAAATAATGACAAACTCTTCACACTCCTACTGGTTACTGCAAAGTAGAGAGTCATAGTGGCAGCTGATTTCTAGATGTGTATCCCACTTCAGTTTTGCACAGAACCAGAAGTTAATCAAGTAATTATTCTTCACCCCAGTCCACAATTAACTTGAATTCTTGGAAATGGAAACTACATATATTGTAAATGATAAACTTGTAATTTGACTTTTCCAGGGACATGCTGAAATGAAGCAGGATGAGGAAAGTGGTCTCCATCACTCTCTGAGGACCAGAGGACAGAGACTTAAACTAGAGGTCTCCTTTGCCGACATGGAGCCACAGACCAGTTCGCCTGTGAATGAAGACAAGGCTGGAGGCTTCTGCACCAGGTAATACAGATCCACTCACCTTGATTACTATTTGATTATTAGTGTCAATATTTAGCCAACTTTCCCCTACCTGTAGATTTGCAGGTTAGGGATTAAATGTGGAAAACTGGTCACAAACTAAATATGGCTCTTGGCCATTGCCGGGGCTCTGTTGCAAAGGCAAACATTTAGGTTCATAATGTGTTAAATGTGCATCAGATATTTGGGGAAAAAAACTAAAAAAAAAAAAAAAAACCTAATACTTCATGTTTTTTACTAAATATGGCAAACACACAATGCAATGAGATGACACAAGGAACTAATTTTTAATGCAATATGTTCTTTCTGTCTTCAGGAAATCGTCCAGGCTACAGAGAGAAGGAAAAGCATCCAGTGGCAAGCAGCAAGCAGGTACAGTCCGCTACAGTGTTTTTCCATAGAGCACTTAGATTGCTTAGATTATATTGCACAAGAAAGTTGTTTTAGGAGGGTCTACACTGCTAAGAGGCTAACAAACAGCGCTTCTGTTGGTGCCCCAGATGTTCCAGAAGAAGTGGAGGCGTCGTCCACTCCCAGGAGGAGCCGCTTTAACCTACAGAGCCGAGAAGTGGAGGAGGAGGAGGAGGAGGAGGAGGAGGAGGAAGAAGATCGCTCAGTGCGACGTAGCTCCCGAATCACCAGATACAAACTGGATTCCCGCAACCAGTCAGTGCTCTACGACCGCCTCATCACCAAGTGAGTTCAGCAAAATCTACTCCAGTTTCTTTCGGTTTCTACCTCCCCCACTGGTTCTGTTGAATATAAAGCTGCAGCACCACCTCAAGTATTGAAGACACATACACAAACAACTTTGGAGCTCAGTTTGAAACTAATGACTTGTTAATTTCATGATGAACTTTGAGAAAAGTTTTGTCTTTAATTTAACCTTAGCACTGCTGAAGCTGTCCTCCAGAAGATGGATGACATGAAGAAGATGAGACGCAGACTGAGGAGCAGAGATAGAGACACTAAAGAAGAGGTAAAAACCTAATCAGCAAACATTGCACTTTGATTTTCAAGCTGACAAACTGAAAAAAATCAAAGCAGTGAGTAAATAAGCATTTGACCTGTTTGTCCTGAGCAGCTGGGTGTTTACACCAGGGGCCGGATGCTAAGGTCTGTGAGGACGAATGTGGAGAATAAAGACACTAAGGAGAACCAAGGTGAGATGGATTAAGTTTAGTAACAACATAATGTACATAGCTGTGGGATGCAAAGCATGCCATTCAGTTTTGCAGATACTTTGTTTAGTTTTATACACGGAGGCTCTCAAAGACATGGGCAACACCTGCATACACAGGTGTGTTTTCATCTTTAGTTCTATGGGCTATCTCCTTATAATGTAATCCAAAACAGAATTTAGATATTGTTTAAAAATTGTAATTAGCCAGATATTTTGAATAATGTTTTGTAAATTTGCAAAGCTGATTTAATTTTCAGGCAGTGGCAATGATTTGATCTTCGCACCAGCTCTCCAAGTGCGTCCTTAGTTGAGCTTAGTGCTGTTACGGCTGTCTGTAGTGGCTCTATTTTAGACAGACACTAGGAAGTAGTCAGCTACAGGATGAGTTGGAAATTCTGTTCTGAAGTGCAAAACTGCAAGAACCTCATTGTGAAACTAATAATAATAATTATAAAAAGTACCATAAATTTTGTCTGTAGATTTAGGGAGCAGCGGTAGTTCATGTTATGAATTCTTTTCTTTTTCACAGGAGGGGATGAGGATGATCACGATGAAGAAGAGGAGGAAGACAGAGAACATGAGGAGGAGGAGGAAGATGATGATGATGAGGAGGATGGCGAGGATGAGGATGAGGAAGAAGAAAACCAGAGGCGCTATGACTTCAGACAGCGAAAGACAGTGGTTCGTTACCAGGCCCCGCAGGATGGTACTGCTTCTTTTCAAAACTATTGATTGATGTTGTTTAGATGGTAGATGTGTCAGCATGTGAAAGGCTTGAAACACTTGTAATAAATACTCCAATTTTAGCTTAATTTTAGACTCAGAAATCACATGAGTCCTTTTGGAGACAGTTCTGTTACTGAAATCTGATAATACATCAATGCTAAAAAATTTGATTTAATATTAATTGGGCTATAGTCTCCTGGTCAATTGGTTAGTTGATATGCTCTTGTCCGACCAAATTCTCATTGGTCTGACAATGACGTGTGTTACTAATAAGGAGAGAAGTGCCACATCGATTATTTCACTTATTATTTCACATTCCTAAATGGTTAATGCAATATTTTTGTATAGATCTAGAGGCAAAATTATGAAAATAGTGTCACTGTCTAAATATTTATATACCTAACTGTAACAGAATTGGCATATTTCAGTATGTCATTCTGCAAATACTAGCTTTTATGTTTTTTATAATTCATTTAGGCGAATAGTGATACCAGGTAGAATGCACCTAGGGCACTGTGGACAGTTCAGTTAATCTAGAGAACACATGCAGGTTTTTTTCCCTACGACGAATCGACTAGGTATGACCTACTCTACGCTGAAGAGTAGGTATAATTTAAGCCGACCAAGATTTTCTTTGGTTGACTACAACCTTAAATTTTAAGGGATAGGGGCACAGTTTCTTGCCCTGCAAATCTGTGCTGGTGTTGACCACAAGAAGCTGATTGCAATAAAAACATGAGATCTGTGTACATTTTTGTAAACCTTGTTTAGAAGGTGTCATTAGTTATGAAGAGACGCAATGCAGGAAATCCCCAGTGTTTTCTTTAAGGTCAGTTAATAAGAATTTCTGCTTGCATTACTTTGACACAGTTTGTGGTTTGTAAATGTTTTGTCAGAACCTAGAGAGCCCAGGAAACGCAGCATGTACTTCAAGGACCACTCATCTCCTACCAGACGAAGGTTCAGATTCAGCTCCACGGCCCCC